AAAAAAAAAAAAAAAAAAAAAAAGCATTTGGGGAGTGATGGGACAAAACTCTGAATGAATGAATGTAGGCCTTGCCAACTGAGTTTGTTCTGTGGGTTGTTTCCTCTCTGTGGAAAACCTGTTCCTTACATGATGAATAGCCTTCAATGCACCCATGGACTTACTCTGTTTACCTCACTACTCCTAGCTCCTCCACAAGATCTGTCCTCACTCCCCAAGCATATTCAACCCCATCTCTCTCCCGCCTGCCTTGCCAGTGAGCACACAGGTCTATTCTTGCACACCTGGGAATTTGGAAGACCACTGACTTCTGGACTGGTCCTGCTTTTGTCTATATCCCCAGCACCCAGCTCAATGTCTCACCCATAGCATTTATTCAGTAAGTTTTCATTTTATTGGACAAGGTACAGTTTAAGAGAGAATTTAGCAGTCAGTTTCAGAGAGAGAAAATTAAGCAACCCAAAGATTCAAATATGAATTATCAAGGCAGAACTGAGAGAATCGTATGAATCTATGAAAGCAGTGAAGTTACGTGATTGAGTAAAAATGACATTTTTACCGCAGCGTTGGCCTTCTTGGATTGCTATCTTTCTCAAGCACAGACAGATTCAGAGGCTGGCTGAATGGATTGCGCAGGGGATGTTCTGCTCCAGGCTGGCCCCTGGAGAGGGTTGCTTCACGCCAAGGTGCCGTCTCAGAGCTGACATCCTGCTCACTGTGTCTTGCCGACTCTTCTCCAGTATATTCTGGAGCCCTGACGCTCCGCTCGTGGCCCTGCTGTGGCAGTTCCTGTAACGCCGGCTGGGAGAGTCCTTCCATCTGGGAGGGAGGCACAGGGTTCCCTTGCTGTGCCCAGCAAGTCCCAGCAACTGCGCTCCAGAGATTCCGAAACAAATAGCAAGGCTTTATTAGCTGGCCAGCGACGATCTCTGGTCCAAAGCTGGATGCTGTGAGAATCGCACTGTGTTGTCCTCACCAGCAGTATTTAAGCTCAAAACCCACATCTCACTGTTGATCTCTTCCACACAGCTATACCCTGTTATTGACAGCAGATGTTTGCAAAGCCAAAGTACAGAAGCCCAGAAAAGAAAAAAGCATTCATCGACACCTTGTGGTCCTAGTATTTACAGTACTATCAGGATCCACAGAGTGTGTGGGTAGGGGTGGCCTTGGTACATTGGGTTCTAGGGCCCCAGTTTCAGGAACTGGGGTGGAGGAGGCTTACCTGGATTACAAGCTTTGCTGTAGAGGAGGCTTACTCGGATTACAAGCCTTGCTGTAATTTTTAGCCAAACTGAAGCCATATATATATATATATATATATATATATATATATATATATACACACACATACATACTTA